CCTGCTGTGCCCACGGGGCTCTGAGAGCTGCAGCTGGACCAGGCATCCATCACACCACAAAGCCAGAGCTGTGCCAGATCAGCAGCAGACCTGAACAGCAGGTGCTGAGCAGCACCATGTCTCTGTCACCTCCCACTGGGGACACTGCCATCACTTCCAGGGATGTCTCCAAGGGCTTCGAGGTGCGGAGTGGCATGTGCTAGCATCATTCTCCAGCCAGTCCCTCAACTGGGCATCTCCCCCATTCCCTGGCTGGTCGGCCAGGGAAATGCATCCCTTGGGTCCTGGCACACAGGTGCCACCCATAAATTTTGCTCTGCTCTCTCTGCATACGTCTCCCTGTCCCCTTGTCACCCTGGCTCAGCACTGAGCCAGCACTGCTCCATGGCCTTTCTCCATCCCTGGGAGCGGGTCTGTCTGTGCCCCATCCCCACCCTGGTGCCCCTGGTCTCAGGTGCTGGTTTTGCTCTGCTCGCTGTCCCTCCTGCAGGGCAGTGGGGAGCCCCCTGGTCATGGACCCCAACAGCATCTGCCGCAAGACAAAGCGGCTGGCAGGGAAGCAGGCAGAGCTGTGCCAGCTGGAGCCAGAGATCGTGCAGGAGGTGGCCAAGGGCACCAAGCTGGGCGTCCGGGAATGCCAGTATCAATTCCGCTTCCGCCGCTGGAACTGCACCAGCCACAGCAAGTACTTCGGCAAGATCCTGCAGCAAGGTAAGGCCAGCACTTCCCAGGCCTCCTATCTCTGAAAAAACTTTCAGCCACCCAATCAGGCATCTCCCTGGGATTCCTGGAGCAGAGTCTGGGTGTGCAAACTTGTGCGTGTGTGTGTGCACATGTGTAAAGGGTTGCTCAGTGCTCCCCTGTGCAGTCACGCTGTGGTTTTACTGCCAGGACATGTCTCCCTGTGTTGTAATGAAGCAATTACCAATGCTCCCAGACAGCGCGGGGCTTCACAAAGCCCAAGAATGCACCCTCGTCTGGCAGTGATTTATGGCTCCCCTGGGACCCAGGGGTGTCCTGGGGGAAGGGGCCCGGGTGGGAGGCAGCCTGCATCCACTGAGAGCTGCCCCTTGCCCCATGGGTGCCCTGCAGATTCTCTCCTCCTGGTCTTGGAGGGAGTAGAGGAGAGGCATGCGTGCCCCTGTCCTTGCATCCCTGGGTGGGCATCCTGATGTCACTATAGGATGGGTAGATCCAAGCCAAGTGGGTACAGTGGCCTGAGCCCAGTCCAACTCCATCAATGCCAGAGAAGGTGCAGAGTCAGGGGGCACCTGTGAGCCTGTAAGGGATGGGAAAGCCCTGCCATGCTCCCCAGGAAGAGGGACTGAGAGGTGGATAGGGAAAAGGGGGGTTGCTTAGTGGGTGGAGAGTGTAGTTCTGCCCCTGTTCCCATGCTGGTCCCTGTGCTGAGGAAGATGCAGATACTGGAGCAAGCTCTGGTCTCCTTGGCCTTCCACATCTCCTGCTGGTGCACCCACCAGGCCAAGGGCAGAGAGGGTGTGCCTTTGGGCCTTGAAGGGGGGTCAGGGTACCCTGGGGACATTGGCAAGGGAAGAGCACCCTGGGTGCTCAGCAGCTGTGGGTAGCAGTGGGGGACAGAGTGGGGGACACGAGTGAGACACCACCCTATGATGATGTCATTTAAGCAGCTGATTTTCGAGCTGGAGTTCCCCCCAATACAAGGACCTGTATTCCGTCAAGGGGCAGAGAGCAAGGACACACGGGGGACAATCCTGCCTCTGGAGTTGCCCATTTTCACACTGACCTCACAGTGAGGCTGGTGGGATCTGTGCCACGCAGAGCTACAGGCTGGAAGCAGGGTGGTGCCAGGATGCCAGGGCAGACCAGAAAGTGAATGGGTGGAGCTGTCGGGTACCCATGGGCAGCTTAGGCTGGGGGAGACGCAGGAGCACGAGGCATGAGAATGCTGAAGAAGCCACCACACTCTGGCCCAGTCTCACTGCTGGGGTGGTGGAGATGAGCAATATCCTGGGGACAGTGGTGAGTTTGGGAGCCTCTGGCACACTGAGGACATGTGACATCCCAGTATGGATGTACCCAGAGCTGCATCTTGGGTGTCAGACACAGAGAGCTTGCCCTGTACTGAGAGATGCCAGCAGGCACTGGCCTCCCTATGAGCCTGTAGGGACTTCATAAGCCATCCCAGCATTCTTGGGGTTCTCAGCTGTCGCTGATGGGCACTTCCCACCCAACAGTGGAGGTGGTGCCCGGAAGCCCCTCTTCCCACAGCCCCCAGGTCAGAGTGCTGGAGATGGAAGGATGGCACACCTCCCAAAACACACCTTCTCTCCCTCTTCATGCTATGGGCACTGCCTGCGTGTCACCACCCTGGGCCAGCCCTGCCCTGAGTGGGCAGGAGTTCGCCTGGCACCAGGATGGGGGGAACACAGGAGCCCCCTGAGCCGGGTGCTGCGCCCCTGCTGCCAGAATCCCCCGCTGGCTGCGGCTGCGAGCGGCAGGTCCAGGCAGGGGAAAGATGCTTGGAATTCGTGTCCTGAAGCAGAGAGAGACAGGAGCAAATACTAATAATAAATAATCCTGCAGGTTGGAGGCTGTGCCGGTGGAAGGAGGGGGGCAGGCAGTGCCCTGTGGCAAAGCAGGTATGGGGGAAGAGTGGGCAGCACGGCTTCATGGCTGCCACCATGCAGAGAGGCAAGGGGCACCAGCCCTGGCGTTGCAGCACTTCTCTCCAGGTCTGCAGCTGGGGAGGGGATTTTTACTGCTTGGAGGGACACTGCAGGATGGTGTGAGGAAGCTTTGGTTATCACCTAGGATGCTCTTGCCTGCAGCCAGTATCAGCTCACAAAGCTCCCCTCTTTTCTGTGGAGCATCACCAATCCTAGCGAGAGGAGGTTTGTCGACCTTGGGCCCCTCCAGCTGCGGTGGAGGAATGCTGGCAGGGCCAGGCCATCCCCCAAATTCTGCGTAATCTGCTTGTGAGAGACAGTCCCTGCTCCAGGCAGCCCTGCTCGGGGTGGGTGCACCACTTGGGGAACAGCACCAAGCACAGAGGAAGAGGGAGAAGGGAAGGCTTGAGCACCCATAGGGTGCCAGCAGGCAGAGCCACGAGTGACTTGGCATCCCAGCCCTGGTTGTTCCCCTGCAGATATCCGGGAGACAGCCTTCGTGTACGCCATCACGGCGGCCGGGGTGAGCCACACCATCACTCAGGCCTGCAGCATGGGGGAGCTGCTGCAGTGCGGCTGTGAGCTGACCCGGAGCCGGGCCCCCCCCTCGCCCACGGCGGGTCCGGGCGCCGAGGGCACCGCCTGGGAGTGGGGGGGCTGCGGGGACGACGTGCAGTTCGGCTACGAGAAATCCCAGCAGTTCATGGATGCCAAGAGCAAGAAAGGCAAAAATGACATCCGAGCTCTCATCGACCTGCACAACAACGAAGCCGGGCGCTTGGTAAGGTCCCTGCTGTGCTCCCTGTCCTCTGCAAACATCAGCCCCCCATGCCCCTACCCAGCTCAACCCTGCGCCTTTATTTCCCCCTATCCACGTACCTGCACCAACTTTGGATGAGATGTGGACCCAATACCATTAAAGAACTTTGAAGGTGCTTTTGAAACCCTCTGTGCCCCTCCCAGCCCTTCACTGGGCCACAGCAGCACCAAGACTCAGGGTTTTGGCCAGGGGTGCTGGGCAGGGAGGTGGGGGACCGTGGGTTGAGCGTTGCCATCTCTTCCCCAGGCCGTGCGTAGCTACATGAGGACAGAGTGCAAATGCCACGGGCTGTCGGGCTCCTGCACCCTCCGGACCTGCTGGCGAAAGATGCCCCATTTCCGCGAGGTGGGGGACCGCCTGCTGGAGCGCTTCAACGGGGCCTTCAAGGTGATGGGGGGGAACGACGGGAAGACCCTCATCCCCGTGGGCGACAACATCAAACCTCCTGACAAGCAGGACCTCATCTACTCAGCTGACTCTCCTGATTTCTGCTCAGCCAACCGTAAGACGGGCTCGCTAGGCACCCGGGGCCGTGTCTGCAACAGCACGGCCATGGACACGAGTGGGTGCGACCTGCTGTGCTGCGGGAGAGGGCACCGGGATGAGACGGTGGTGCTGGAGGAGAACTGCCTTTGCCGCTTCCACTGGTGCTGTGTGGTGCAGTGCCGCAAGTGCTCTGTCCGTCAGGAGCTCAGCCTCTGCGTCTGATGGCCTGGGGTCGGGCAAGGACAATTTTGGGGGCCACCCCCAGGCTCACCCTGTGGCCCTCCTGGGACAGATACAGGTGGAGCTGGTGGCAGGGACACTGGGAGTGAGGCCAGCTCTGTGCCCTAAGAAGTCCTGTCTTCCCCCAGGGACAGTGTGGGGCTGCCTGGTGTCCCCACAGCCCCCGTGGTGAGGGCTGCAGGTGCAGAGCTTCCACTAATAAAGCTATTTAAAGCCGGTGTGCCACAGCACTTCCTGGGGAGGGCTGGGAAGCACTGACTGGGAAGGGACCAGCTGGAGAGCTGGAGAGCAGTCCTGCCACAGCTGTGAGTCCCTGTCAGCTGGACTCCCTCCAGCCTCCTGTTGGTGCTTGTTCTGCTGAGACCTGTGGCACAGCCCAGTTCATTTTTGATCCACTCTTTGCTTTACTGCACCACTGTGGAGCCAGGAGATGAGTGTGAATGAGGGCAAGCACTCTTCTATCCTGCTCTGCAGCTCCCAGGCTCCTCCCATCATCCATGGCCATCATCACTTGGAGATGCCTGTCTCCCATCACCATCTGAGCTGGAATATTTGATATGAACTGCAGATAATGGTTCCTTCCACTCACCCCTCATGCAGGAGGTACAGGTATCTGCCCTGACACTGTGGTGATGGGCTGTGAGTTTCTTGAAGGTGTCCTCTCTTCTTTTCATTCTATTTTCAACCACCACTGCTGCGATGCCTGGCACAGAGTAGCCCTATGTGGCACTGAAACTTTGGGCTTGGTGACATGTGCAGCATTCTCTTGGCCTGCCTTGGACCATGTGCAGCCTCACCTGGCCATCATGGTGCCAGACATGTCTTGGTAACCTGATAAGCCTGTGTTTCTTGGAGGAGCAGCCTTCCTGGCTTCCTATCTGGCTGCCATCCCTCTGCTCCAGAGGTTCCAGGAGTCCTTGACAGGTTCCCTCTCATGCTGCAGGGAGCCTGCAGGAACTGGTTTCTCCAGCCTTCCCCAGAACGGGGGTTTAGGTCACTGCAGAGGGGAACTGCTTGCCTGGCAATGCCACACTGGGCTGAGGAGCCCCTGTGGGATGTCAGCAGAACCAGAGCCTGGGCAGAGGTTCACGTTCCCATGTCTGCCCTCAGTGCTGTAGCCATGCAGGGCATGGGGGCTGTGCTGCTCCACCCAGCTGCAAAAAGGCTACTGGTGCTCTCAGCCGAGGTTGGCAATGCCCTGTGCCCGGGGTGCTGCCAGGCAGGGCAGGAGCAGGGCTCACAGCACTCTGCAAGGCACGGGGAGCAGCAGTGGGGTGACACCCACCAACAGGTCCCTCCTTGCCTGCCCTCTGGTAGCCAGCTGGGAAGGGCAGGGGAAGCAGGGTGATGGGGAACCATTAACTTGGACCAGCGAACACTGAGGCAGGAACCTCTAAATCTTTCAGCTGCAGCTCTGCAGCTGGAAATTCCCTCCTGGCTTGCCCACAGAAGTGCTGGGAGAAAGGAGGCACTTGGGACTCCCAGAAACTCCTGGCCACACGCCCACCCATGGGAATGCATGGGTGGGTGTGAGCGGGGCTGGGTGGGTGCAGATGAAGGTTCCTGTGGCTGCAAGCAGCTCGGCGTGCACGTGTGTACGCGTGTAGGTAACATGTCTCCACATGTTCACGACCAGATGTGTGCGTGTGAGTTTGTGTACACACCCATCAGTGTGTGTGTGAGCCCCTCGTGGGTGTGCTAACAAGTTGGCCCGTGTGTCTTCATGCAAGTCAATGAACACACAGCGAATTGTCAGGATGTGCGTGCCAGCGACACCAGCCCTGTGTGCGCCTGTGTGTGACTGTGTTTATTTGCATGGGTCTTACTTTGTGCAGGTGTGTCTAGGACATGGCAGACATGCGTGGGTGCAGGAGGGCCCTGCAGGAGGGGAGCTGCAGAGATGCAGCGTCCGTATGCTGGAAGATGTGAGGACCCATTTTGTAGGTTCCTTTGAATTAGAAGCAGGGGAGCACACCTCAAGCCCTGGGCTGCCCATGAGGGGAGCTCAGTTCAGGCAGATCCTGTGAAGATTTGAATCACTCTTACTCTCCCCCACAGTCACCCCATTGTGAGGCCAATTATAGTGGGTGATTCTGAATCCCTTCATGAGTTGTTGGAGTGCATGTGTTGAGCCTGGGAGAGCTCCATCCCAGTTCTGACCTTCAGCAGACTCCTTCCCTTGAGTCTGCCTCAGTTTCCCCAAATGGACTCCTTTCATGTGCCTGGCTGCATAGACATGGCTCTTGAGGTCTGGATCATGGATAAATCCATGAAGACAGGTAGTTCTTGTGGGTCCTCTCTGTCATTGCCTCAAATCACAGGTTCTGAAGTCTGGAGAACACAAAAGCCAAAAATGTGTAGGAGGAAGAAGCTGGAAAATTGAGCTAGCACAGAGTCAAGAGACTCTCACTTGGAGAGAGGTGCATGGATACTGATTGTGGCATGATTCCTTCACTCCTCCAGGGTATCTCCAAATGCCTAGTGGAGAAGGGTTTGCTCTCGTGGGGGCTGCCATATTCCTGACACTTCCTCCTGCTGGCCCTTAGTTGGCAGAGACAAATCTATTCCCTTGGCATCCAGAAGAGACCCTGGCATAATTAGGTGATGCTGGTAGCAAGGCAGGGTCTGGACCTGGCCCAGTGGTGTGGAGAGGGCTAAACAGCCAGAGGAATCCCCAAGCAATCTCTCAGCTCCCCAGCCCTCTAGCAGTGCCCCCAGCTCCTCAGACGTCCAGGAGCTCTCCAAGAACTCCTCATCTACTAGGACCCCATCTCAGACTCCTAGCAGCACCCCAAGCAGCCCCCAGGACCCTTTCACCCCCTACCACTCCTCCACGTCCCCAGCAGTGCCCTGGGAACCCCCCAGATTCCTGGGACCCTCCCAGATTCCTAGAAGACCCCCATCTCTCCAGATCCCTGGAAACCCTCTGAAACGTCTCAAGAGCCCCCAGGTTACAGCCCGGGGGGGTAGCAGCATCTTCTCCGTAGCCGTGGCAACCTGGGATGAGGGGCGGGGCGGGTGGCGTCTTGCAGGGCGACCGCGAGGGGGCACTGCGGAGCGGGAAGGCACGGCGGGAGGGGGGGTCCCGGGGGGCATGGG